CAGAGCTCTCCAAACTTCGCCCTCACTAATCTTTTCCACTTCCTGGTCCACAGTTTCTATGACATATATTCTTCTTTCTCTTTCATTCTCTTCATTCATTAGCTACACAGTGTACTTCTTCCATCTTCTCGACACACTCTCTTCACTTGTTAGAACATTACCATTCATATCTTTCACAAGCCTGCTGCACATCCTTTCCAGTCTGTTCCCTCTGTCTTGCCAATTGATACAAGTCCTTCTCACCCTCTTTAGTGTCCAGTGTCCCATCATATACCTTCTACTTTGCCTTTGCTACTTCCCTCTTTGCTCTACATTGCATATTTTTTATATTCCTGTCTCCTCTCTTCAGTCCTCTCACTGTCATATTTCTTCCTGGCTAACCTCTTTCTTTGAATAGCTTCCTGCACTTCACTATTCCACCACCAGATTTCCTTATCATCCATTATCTGTCCATATGACACACCAAGTACTTTCCTACCTGTGTCTATGATTACTGTTTCTGTAGTAGCCCAGTCATTTGGACGCTCGTTCTTACCACCCAGCCTTTAACAGTTCCTCTCTGAACTACTCACAACATGCTTCCTTCTTCAGCTTCCACCATTTGGTCTTCTTCTCTGATTTTACTTTTTTTCTCTTCTTCACAACAACAGTCATTCTACACACAACCATCTGGTGCTGTCTGGCCACGCTCTCCCCTGTCACAACCTTACAGTCCCCAATCTCCCTCAGGTTTCCTCTTCTACACAGAATGTAGTTGACCTGCATACTCCTTCCTCCACTCTTATGTCACTCTCAAGCCTCCAGTATACTGCCGCGTTCGTACGCGTGAACTGTACGCAGACGGTTCAGACTTCATACTCCAGCGTACACCCCGAGCAGCTGCAGAGCATCTTCACAGACAAGGGGCGTTTACCTTCGGGACAAATTGAGGTTGCCGATTGGTCATTTGCTGACACGCCTACTGGATTGATTGACAGGTCAGAAAAAAGAAAAAAAAAGCGAGCGCTGGCAGCCTTCGCCGCAGCGGTGTTCTGTGTTTATAGGTTGTTAATAAAAAGATCTAATTTTTTTTTTTTTTTTTAACGGAGCACTGGCTCTACAGCCCACACATCAGACCAGCCCACCAGGAAATCTCCAGACCCTCCCGCAGTCATGCTGGACCTGAGTTTAATTTGCTCGTGACAAATTCCTTCATTTCTCACCATTATCAGTCATGGCCTCAATGGAGGAGGAAGAGATCACTGCCTCTTGGCAAAAAAACAAAACAAAAGAAAAGGCCAGATCAGAGATGAAGAAGGGGAATTTAATACATTGGTGTCACATACAAAACAGTCCGTCGCTGGGCAGTTTATTGTGCGACACCGTGTACGCGGTCGTAAAAATTTGAGCTTTGCACGGACATGCCCTGGGGGGTACGCTCGTACCTCTGCGTATGGATGTACGCGGCAGTATACTGGGGGCTTCAGTGGTTAATCTGAGCCAGATCCTGCTGGAACAAGATCTGGGAACACCCTCATTTTCACCGTGTGTGTTCCGGCAACTGTTTGCTCGGATTCAGCAGCTCATATATCCGCCCATAAAAGTCCAAAGTTATTGCACATTTTAATTTTGATTATTTATTAAAAATAGAATGAAAGGAGATGTTGTCCATGTCTGTGGAGTGGATGTTACTTCTGTAGCAGGCGCACCAGCTCGCGCACATGCTGCTGCCAGCAGAGACGCTGACTGCATGTCCCGCAGGGATGAAGCGTCTTCATTCACCTCCAGCTGTGTCTCAGAAACCAAAGCAGCACAAATGAAAATTTTAACAGCACAAACGTAGCACTAACCACTCATTTATTTACTTGAATTTTTGACATGGGTGGGGTGTCAGCTTCACCTGCTCATCTGTGCACCTTGCAGACAGTGCACGTTTTATACACAAGAGCGTCTCCAGACAGCTCTGCAGTGCGTGTACAACTGCTAATGTGTCAGAACTCCTGCATACCTTTCAAAGATAATAAAAAAAAGCTTACAATAAATTAAAAAAACTACAAGTGAAATGTTTGATGTGTATTATTCACATTGCACATTTCAAATTTAATCAAAATAACAGCGATCAAAATATTAAAAAAAACATCCAATTTATTATCTAAAATAAATGGATGGATGGATTGTCCTTAGCTGGACAACAGAATTGAAGCACCTGAAGGCAGTGGTAACAGAGATTGGAGCAGAACAACGTGCAGGGCTGAATTCAGAAGAGTTTGGGTCGGACACTGAAGTTTGTGTGTGTGTTTGTGTGTGTGTGTGGAGGAGGAGGGGGGGGGGGGTGGGATGCTTGACAGAATCAGAGCTGCTATAAGTCACTGCTCTCTAAAATAATAATTTCAATTCATCCTTTATTTATACAGGTTGTTAGTCTCATGAAGCCTTGAGGACTCATTTACAAGAGAGACCCGTTTTTAATCAATTTAATCAAATGTTTACAGATGTTTAACATCCTGTTAAAATACACCACAATGCAGGAAATGGCATCTCTTTAATTCCAAATTTTCTGGGGGAGGTGATGGACATATGACCTGTCCAGAGTCCCCCCCCCCCCCCCCCCCCACACACACACACAGTGACTGCATGAGATACACACAAGCTTCCCTTGACCTGGAAAAATAAAGTGGATAAAGAAAATGGATGGGTGGATGGATGGATGGATGGATGGATGGATGGATGGATG